TTTAGTGGCACACATCGAGCCTTTGCGCTTTGTTGCGCCGGCTTGCCAGGCCTCGCTCCGCGCGTGCAGAGGAGCCAGAGCCGTGTTTTCCCCCACTTCTACGTTCTTGCTGCCCGGGGCTCCGCGCCAGGGAAAGGGGCCGTTTTTTTAATTAAATCGCCGCCCTCTCGGACACAATCGCTGGCCACACGCCTCGCAGCCCGGGGCTGAGTGCCAGAAGGAGCAAACGTTTCTTGTCTTTGATCTCCTGCCAGGCCAAGACAATGTGTGAGCAGTAGTTTGTTTGTGCAACAGTCCCACTCAGCTGGCGGGTTTTCAAATCGGGGCACGGCTTTTGCGAGCAATCGCTGGCCACACGCCGCGATGCACGGGGCGAGTTTGGTGCCGGTGACAGCGGGCACGCGTCCGAAGCGGCGCAGCGTGCTGGCTCGCTGAGCCTTTGCACTCTTTGCGTTGAGAAAGCAAAAGGTTTGCCATCCAGCTGCGTCATAGCGACGCCGCGAGGACCGCTATCCGGGACCAGGAGCGGCCACGCCCCCAGCACCTGCTCCGAGCACGCCGTGTACGCCGACTGTGCTCCTGACGTCCGCGACCCTTGCGGGTGCCGTGCCGGACATTACAGCCATCTCCTCCGGAGATGAGGATCTGGCGCCGGCCCGGTCCGGGGCCAAGGCACCATTGCCCGCAGGTGTTGTTTCACCCCACCCTCGGGTGGTGCGGAACAAGTGTGCACCATATGTTTTGAAGTGCTGGCCCCGCAAAGCCTTGGAGCGGCCACCGTCGTCGCGTTCCCCGCGTGCGCGTCGCACTTTTTCGACCTGGGTTGCGTTGCGCAACTGCGTGTTCAGGCTGCGGCAGCAGCCGACCTGCTGTGTCCGCTTTGCCGCGGGTGCTTCTGCAGCGGTTGCTCCGCCCAGGGTTGGGCGGATCGCCACGACGCCATCCCCACGCCTTCCCACCAAACCCACTGTGCGCCGTGTAGTGGGCGACTACACGCCCCGCACGTTTACTGAAGCCGATGCGCCGTGCGCCCGAGCGTGTGTCGGTGTTTTGTTGCCGGCGCTTGGCTGCAGTGCAGGGCTCGCATGGAGACGCGGACTTTGTCGAGTTGGACTCTACGGATGCCGTGTGGTCCCCGGTGCCCGTCCGGCACGAGGCAGGCATAGCTGCATGGCTGCTACAGTGGCAGTGCCAGCGGTGCGCGCGTGCCATTCCTGCTGGCAACCAAGGCCAGGCCCGTCTGCCGCCTGAAGCACATTCGCGAGTCTACGTGCCCTTCTTGCTGGCCGCCGCCAGCCTTCTGCAAGAGGAAGCGCTGCGCGCTTGGTCTGACCACCCGGCTGCCGGGGCGGCCTGGGGCGATGCGGTGCGCTCCTGTCACCGGCGCCCGCCCCTTGACCCACATTCGCTGTCCAATGCAATCGTCGGGGCCGCTGCTGGCCGGCCGTTCGCTCCAGCGAATTGCGCGCGCGGCCCCTCCCGCTGTAGCGGATGACAGTGAACCAGGCGATTGGCCGCATGGTTGGCAGCTTCTCGCGTCTCGCGCACTCAACTCCCATTTTCGCGAGAGCGAGCTTCTGCCACACATGCGGCCGAGCGACCGCGCTTGTCTCCGCTCGCAGTTTGGCCCGCATGCGGGGGCTTGGCTTGCGGCTGTGCCGACTGACCCGGGCACCACGCTGCCCCCGGCGCACATGCACGTCGCCTTGCGCCGGCGCCTGCGCCTCGCGCTGCCCCTCACGCAGCGGTATTGCGGAGGCGATGGGTTCCCGGGGTGCGGCGCCGCGCTCGATGTCTTGGGCGACCATGCGGCAGCGTGCCCGCGCAGCGGACTGTTGGCCCGCCGCGCCCCCTTGCTTGAACAAGCGTGGGTCCGCGTCGCGCGTGAAGGTCTGGGGCCCGAGGGCAGGGTTGTCCCTCAGCAGTGGTTGGCCAACACTTCTGCGCCAGGCGTCAGTGCGCAAGACAGGCGCCGCCTGGATCTTGTTCTTTACGGCGCCACGCGCTTGGGCGAAGCGCTGTGCTGCGACGCCACGCTCGTTGCTCCGCTCCGTCGCGATGGCCGACCGCAGCCACGCGCGGCCGAGGAGGACGGCGCAGCCATTGCGGTAGCGCGGCGCCGCAAGGAGGCGCGGTACCCGGAGCTTCGCCGGCCTGGCCCGCAGCGCGCCAGCGCCGGATGCTGCCGACCCAGACACCACCGCCCGCTTGGCTAGCTTGGGTGAAGTGTCGTCTGCGGCTTGGGCGCTCACTGCGCACGTTCCTGCACAGGCCGGAGGAGGGCTCACGCTTTGCCTTATAGAAGCAAGCGCCTTGGCGGCCAGAACGCCGGCTCATCAAGGCGTTAGTGAACAAACCCCGCGCGAAAACATGGCACTGGGACGGCGTGGCGTGCCACTGAGTGCCGTTTCCGGTTGAACATGCACTTCCAACCTGGCAGGCGCAACCCCGCCCTGAAGGGGGGTGATGCCGGCTCCTGAGCTGGCTAGCCTTTCTGTGGTTGCCTAAAGGGGGGGTTAATGATGACCCCTGCTCTAGGTGCACCGCGTGCCCTAGATGCAGTGCAACTTTCCAGCAACCCGGAAAAAGAAGCGCGCGCCTTTCGTCCTGCGGGTTTGTTTTTTGGAGGGTTGTTTGGGTTCACGCTAGGAGCAGTGCAGCAGGTCTTAACGTGCGCGTTTGCAGAGAAGCCGGGGCAAGAGTCTCCAACACACGCCTTGCGGACTTAAACCTTCAAGTTGGGTGGACGATAGGCGGCGGGTGGGGGGCGAGCAATTTGCAGTAGACACTAGCCCGTTCGGCGCGGGGGTTGCTGCCCTCGCCCCTGGCACGCGCAACGAGCGGGCCTACCCAGAGCTCGTGCGAACGTGCAGATGCCGGTTGGTCGTGCTTGCGTGAGGCCACCTCCTTTGTTGCCAGGGTCGGCCCAGCTGACCCATGCAGCCATGACAGCCTTTGCTTTGCCCCTTCTCAGGCAGGCTGCCGGTCCCGAGCTCTGCAGGGCCTCCCCTCGCCCACACGCAGCCGGCGGGCGCCGGGCAGACTGCAAAAACTCTGGGTAGGCTCGTTCCTTGCGGCGGCCCGGACAAGGGCAACGCACCAATTTGCAAAAACATGTTGCGCAGCACCAGCTGTGGCCAGTCGGGCGGGTTCACCTTGTTTCCCCCACCCGACAGGAAGGGGTTGTTAGATTTTATGTTGGAACCCGCGTTTGCGATGCTTTGGCACCATGCCCCCACCCAGTATCCCGCCAGAGCAGCTCGCCAGTAGATCCCGCCGAGTATCCCGCCAGAACAGCTCCCCAGTGGATCCCGCCAAGTATCCTGCCAGAGCTGCTCGTCAGTGCCGCCTAGTATCCCGCCAAAGCTGCTCGTCAGTGGATCCCGCCGAGTATCCCGCCAGAGCGGCTCGCAGTGGATCCCGCCAAGTATCCCGCCAGCATTCGCCAGTGGATCCCGCCGAGTGCTTGCCAGTGGATCCCGCCGAGTAGAGCGCGCGCCGGCGGCCACTTCCGAGTCGTGCAGGATCATGATGCGGCCGTGTTGTCAGCTCTTTCCGCTTTGCTTGGCACGGCGGGCGTTTTGCCGCACAAGCGGCGTCTCATCGAACACCTCGAGGTGCAGCTGGACCGCTCTGAGGCGAAAGTCAAACGCCTCGAGGAAAGGCTCAGGGACCTGGGTCAAGTCAAGAACGAGGTGGACTACGTCTCTGATGAGGCTGTTTACGGCCAGGCCACGCGCGCCCAGCGGGCAGAGCTGGTTTGAGGCGCTGCGTGGGACGTGGAGTGGACACTTTGGGACGGCAGGGGATCGCCAAGCCCCCCGCGAGCGCTCGGCATGGCCTCAAGCAGCGCATCCTCGCGAGGCCGCTTGGTGGGAGGCCGCTGGGCCACCAGAGCAGCAAGGCAGGGAGCGTCCTCGTCCGCCCACGCAAGCAACATTATACCGATTATTCCTGTGGAACAAGGGGGCACGCGCCCGGTATGTATGTTGCCCAAGGAATCGGCGGCCCACATTTACATGGGAGAGCAACTTGGAATAATTTGGCCGATGCCGTGGACTGGAAATTGCAGCTGGCGATTCTAATGCGTGCTTCCATATAATATTTTTTTCCAATAGAGGTGTGAGCATTTTGTTCTTCTTTCTCACCCACCTGCGCCCTAAAGATGCTGGCTTCGGACATGCAGGCCAAAAGTCAAAGTAAAAAAACAACATATTATGACTCACTTGGCCTGGGCGCATGTTGCCCTCCCAAGCGAGGCTGCAAGGCCTCACGCAATGGCCGTCTCATGCGCCTACGCGCACACCGCAGTGTCAGACAGAGGAAGCATGCGAAGCAGGTAATTGCAGCGCGGGCCACACCAGAAAACAACAGCAACTACAAAACCTGCAGAGCGTCAGGGGCGGGCAGTCGCCCAGGCCAGGTCTCCGAGACGTGGCCGGCCTCGTGACCAACCCGCGCGAGGCCGCGCTCGAAGGGCACCGCGCGCACCTGCAAGGCTCCGGGATCAGGTCGTCGGGGAAGGTGCACTCAGGCGTGGTCGGGAGGATTGTGAACGCCCGGCTCACCTGGGCCTGAAGCCAGAACGTAGCATCTAACGTGTTGCGCAGCGGAGCCTTGCCGCCACGTTTGCTGGCCTGCCCAGCGCGGGACTGCTTTCTCACCGTGGTGTGGGCGGCCGTGTCGCTTAGACAACGTTTCACACCTTTGTTGTGCCGGATCGCGAAAAACACTAGTTTCCAAAATTTAGCCTGGGCTGCTTCGGCGCGTGCGTGATATTGTTCCGATTTGCGCGATGTGTTTTTTGCTTCTCTTGCTGGGTGCGTGGTTTTCTCTGTTGTCCGGGATGATTGCGAAGCACAACCGTAACAAGTATGAAACACACATCAGCTTGGGTTTGGCCAGCTCTGATACTTTTGCCAAGCCTTTTTTTGGGTTCGCCCACAAACAGCATGAATTGGCATGATTCGGCATGATCAATGTTTGCAACGCTGCTGTCGCAAGTTGTCCAGGTCAGGAACGTAGGTGGCCGTTTGCCATTTGCGTGCTCGGACTTCTGCACCTGAGGTGCCGGGCTGAGTTTCAATCTCATGGAGTTGGCATTGCGCAAGGCCGACCAAAAAGAAAATGTGAGGTTTACCTAAAGCCCTCGCATTGCGCATGTTCCCCGGAAACGTGGAATGCATCGCTCAGGTGCACGACCCTCGGAGCATGGAGGTGCCTTGAAATTCGGGACGCCACCCCTCGTTTAAATATGTGTAAATCAGTGGTTTTCAAAAATGTGAATCATGTTCAATCAGTTGTTGTTCAAAGCGCTATTGTTGTGTTAAACGGTTGAAGCCGCCATTGTATACCTAGTCCCAGTTTTGTTTTTGTTTTCTTTTTTTTAAAGCAAAACCAGTGATAAATCCCTGCGCAAGCGTGCTGTTGCGCTAGGTGGTGGTGGAAAATGCGATCAACATACCAGATGGGAGCATCCTGCCACGCCAGCCTTGTTTACGCCGCGAGGTCACATTCAAAAGGTCGCCAGTATTCAGTATGGACATTGGCGATCACAGAGTTGATGCGTTTGACAATGCATTCGCACCTCCAAGGGCGATTGATTTCTCGGGGATTTTCGTTTGTTTGCTGGATTGCTGGATTGAGACTGCTGGTGCCTCCTGTTCAAAATTCCGGTTCTGTTTGCAGATTCCCACATGCTTGTGGAAAGGGCAATTCTTGTGGTACCACGGAACAGCAGTCGCGGGGAAGCACAACCATGGATTTGGATTTCCATTCTGCTGTGCCCATTGCGAGGTCCATCCGAGCGGGCAATGTACGACGTCAGGGCACGCTTCCTGCAGACAAGCCGGCAGGAGCCTCAAAGCTGCATTGAAAACGACGGTGGAAAAGGCAATCCAAACTTTGCTTACTTGAAAACTCGTTTTCAATCCCGAGGGTTGAGCGTAGGGTCCTGTGTCAGCTTGGGGCGGCATTCGTGTCCCAAGAGCGTCTGGTTAGGTGCGCTTTGCCCAGACCGGGCCCCTGGACGCTTGCCCCTTCAAGGCGTGTGGGGGAGGGGGGCATGCAAGATCTTTTTGAAACCGAGGCGTTGGCCAATTGGAAGCATGCATGCCACTAGTGAAGAAGTTCACGCAGAGAAGCCGGCCATGCAACATCACCATGCGGCATGTCTTTCGAGGCAACTCTGCTCGGACTCAACAGAATGTGAATGTGAAAAAAGAAGAGGGGAGATAAGATAAGGTAAATCGAGGCGAGACGAAACGAATGAGTCGGTGAGTGGCGAGCGAGCGAGTGAGTGATGCAGCGGAGGGAGGGGAGGGAGGGAGGAAGTAGTGAGCGAGGGAGCGGCCCTCTTTCAGGTTTTGTGAAGAAAACAATTGGCAGATGTCAAAGCAAGGGTTCCTTGATTTGATTTTCCTGCTTGTTTCTTCTTTAGCCCAATGGCATGGAGAAGGAACTGCTGGACCCCACGAGTTTGCTCCACTGGGTAGGTGGACCTATTCGCCCCCCTGGGCAGCTCGCGCCTGGCGGAGACCTAAGTTACCCCTTTTCGGGGTTGGCCAAAAAAGAGAGACGCGAGTTCTGCAAGGGTGTGGTAGTTTGGAGGCCCCCCAAAAAATGGTAAAAGTAGGGGGCCTGGGGGGTGGCCTGTTGATGGTTGCCTGTTCTGGTTTTTATGTTCATCTCAAATCTGTGTTCCCCCTTATTCGTTTTTAAAAGAGGGTTTTCGGGGAGCTTATTTATCGTTTTCGTTAAGGTAATCATTTGGGTAAATTGTCGCCTTGTTCATTGTTGGGCTGGGGGCAAACATTTTTTTCATTTGAAAGAGGTAGCCCTTTTAGTAGTTATCAAGTTCTGGGGCGTTGGTGGTGTATTTGTTTTGATATATTTTTTGTCATTGAAAGTTTGTTATAAGTTAAAATTATAGTATAATGAAAGGTTATAAAGATTTACAATGTTTAATCATATTATAATTAAATAATATGAATAAACAAACATCATATTTCATAATTATTAATTGTATGAATTTCAAATTTGATAAAGTCTATCATCACAAGTTGTCTATTGACTAATCTTATTGTGCTCTTTATTTCTTTCACCATCTTTTCAATTGTAATTAGGAGTTCCTCTTTACTTGTCATGATATACTGATTGGATACCATATTACATTTTTCAATACATGTATCATAATTCATTTTTACTCCAACATACATGTTAATCTTTATTTCATCGGTATATCTTATTAGTTTCATAAACTTTTCTGATGGGTTCAATGCGTATGAAAACGCCTTATCGCCTTTTAACTTTTTGTTGTGTATCTCATGGTTATACGTTGTAATTGACTTTTCTGGAGTTTTACGCCGACTGACTACATCATTACTAATAGAAGGTTTCCATTTCCTTTGTAATTCTCTTAAAGCATCACATTGTTTCAGTCTTCGCCACCCTTCACTACCATTAATGTAAGTAGTGATGATTGAAACTAAGCCTTCAGGTAAGCTAGCGCAATTCTCATCCATAAAATTATTCTCTGACATTTTACCCTTACTCATTTTTCTCTTAATATATAAGGCTTTTTCTCTTTAAGTAGTTTTGGCTAGGGGTTGCTGGTCGGCTGGTCTGGGTTTCAGGTTTAATTTAAATGTCTTAACCTCATTGTTAGATTATAAAAACTAGGTTTAATCATATTATAATTGAATAATATCATTAAACTAAATCACTCACGCTTTCCATCCACCTATTCCATCCCACCAGAATTCAATAATTCGCATCTGTCCATCTACTAGACTGTCTTCTGTGTTTAGTTTCCGTATCGCTCCCGATAAGATATAGTGATTAATAATCATAGCATTAAACTGCCCATCTCGGTTTAACTTTTTACCACAGTCTTTTATGATGTTTTCATCTGTTAGGTTTTCATACATTTCTTTCATGATGTCAAACCTAACAAATGAGTATATTGTCATCAAGTTTAATCCGCTATTATCCCTAAACCTGTTAATAACATCTTTCCAGAATTCTTCGTTTTCATCAACTGATGGCAAAGGGTGTCTTTTGACGAAATCCTTTATTTTGTTTAACTCGTCATCTAATTCCTTTTTATAACTGTCATTATCATCATCTTCTTCGTCTGATAGCACCCAGTTTGATAAGTCAGCAATCACTCCGACATTTTCAGTCATATTTTCACTTAATATAATAAGTTAATATTTCTTTAAGTAGTTTTTTATTTTATGTTAAGGGGCGGGGTTTTTATTGAAAAAATATTTTCTAACAATTTAATATAATGGCGAGATTAACAAAAGACCAAATAATCAGCAACATCTATTACGACTTAGACGAGGGTTTCGGAAGCACACAAGCGACACACAAGAAGGCAAAGGAAGAAGACCCAACAATAACATTAGACGATGTAAAGTCTTTCTTAAAGAAACAGCCAAATAAACAAATCAAAAATTATAGAGGAACTAATTCCTATACCGCTCCATTCGCACGATATGAATATCAAATAGACATAATGCATATGTCTCCTTTAGCAAAAGACAAGAACGTTCCACAGTATGCTTTAGTCGTGATTGACATCTTCAGTAAATTAGCTGATGTAATACCGATGGAGGAAAGAGACGGAGAGCACGTTTTGAAGGCGTTGAGAACAAGCTTTAAAAAGATGGGTTATCCGATGTCCGTGTATTCTGATGACGACGGAGCGTTTGCAACTAAAAATCAAGTTCAGGATTTCTTCAACAGTGAAGGAATAAACCACATCGTCACGAAGACCCACGCAAATGTGGCCGAGCGTTTTATTAGAACGATGAAAAACAAAATTCACGATAGAGTTAGGTTTAACAACATGAAATGGACCGACGCCCTAACGCCGGCATTGAAACAGTATAACAGCACATCTCACTCATCAACAAGGATGACACCGACCGATGCACACAAGGACGACAATGAAATAAATGTAAAGGTCAATCTTAAACTACGAGAAAAAAACAAAAGAAAGTATCCCAAAATAGAGGAGAATGACAAGGTAAAAGTGTTCCAAAAGAAAAGGGGTAATTACACCGACAGAAAGGAGTATAACTCTAAATGGTCTAATAAAATATTCAATATCGATAAAATTGAATATGATATTATGGGTAATAAAACTTACAAAGTAGCAGGAATAAACAAACCGCTTTTGAGACACGAAATTTTGTTAGTTAATGATTAAACGTATTTCTTGGTGTCTTCTTTATACTTGACTTGATAGTAATCCAGACTTGATTGTTTAGGTTCTTTTATGATTTTTTCATTCAGTTTTTTAACATAAATGTTTCGTTTATTTTTGTATTCGCTACTGTCTCTATCTACTTCTTTTGCTTGATAATTGTTATTGTTATTATATGTAGGTTTAATATTCATGCTCTTTAAGATTTTCAGTATGTTTTCATTTTGCTCCAACACTTTTTCTAATCTTGGAAACAACAACTCTAAACTACTGTCAATGTTCGCTAAATGTTCCTCCATATATACTAAATTATAAAACTAAACTTTTAAAACTAAATGTTGCAATTATGTTAAATCTACTCTTTAAATACTAATTTTTCATTATTTGTTTAACAGTTTCCTGTGTTTCCTTATCACCATTATCGGAAGGTGATGCATGCCTTCCCCATTTGATAGCAATATTATGAACATCTGTTTCTAAGTTTATACTGTCTTTAGTTTTATCAATATTCATTTTCTTATCATTCTTACTTATTTTGAAACTTGTTGGAATACACGAGCATTTACAATTTCCTTTCTTTTGTATTTCTAATTCATTCTTCATTTCTAACATCTTTTTACACATCGGACAAGCAAACTCAATAACTGATGTTTCTTTAACAATTTCTTCTTTTTCTTCATCAGTTGAAGAAACACTTAAACCTGTTTTATTCTTTTTGCTTTTTTTCCTTCCCATCTATATTAATATTTATATTTTTAATATATTGTATTCCTAACTTAATTAATTCTAATGAATAATAACAACATTTCTTAATTTTATTATCGGTTATTATTACTTGTTCTATATTTTCTACTTTATCTATTATATCAATATAATCCGAATAACTTCTATTCATATAAAATAATAAATATAAAATATTTTCTAAATAACTTTAATATTATTTTATTATGTCTGATGTTCCAATAATAAAACCAATAAATATAACTGATTACGATTTCAAACAATCTAAATATGAACATGTACCAAAACTACCTTTTCGCTCAATTGTTGTTGCTTCATCAACGGGTGGCAAAACAGTTTTAATTCAAAACCTTATCCTAAATGTTTATAGGGACTGCTTCGCCCGTATATTCATTTTTAGCCCGTCGGTTCATAATGACCCTACCTTCGTTGAAGTCAAGAAATATCAAAAAGATAATATGAAGGTTGATGACGAAAAAGAAAAGTTATATTATGACACCTACCAACCTGAAGAACTGGAAGAAATAATTAACACACAAAGAAAGATAATTCATTATATGAAAGAACAGAAGATGAAGAAACTACATTCAATTTTAATCATTGTTGATGATTTTGCAGACGACCCTAAATTTGTTAGATACAGCAAGTTATTACATGGACTGGCAACGAGAGGCAGACACGACGCCATTAGTTTTTGCTTAAGTGTTCAAAAATATCGTGTCCTTGCTCCAATCATTAGGTTGAATTCTAGTTCGTTGTATATCTTTAAGTTAAAGAATGTATCAGAGTTAATGTCATTCATTGAGGAAAACTCCGCCATTGTTGATAAAGAGCAACTGTTAAATATGTATCATAAAGCGGTAGATGATAAACCATACTCCTTCTTTTATGTTAATATGAATTCCAAAGATGTTAATAATATGTTTTATGTTAGATTTGAAAAAGCATTTAAAATAAAATAAAGGTTTAAATATATTATGATATTTTATGATTTACCATTAGACATTAAAAACCTTGTATTATCTTATAACTTAGGTGATGTTAGATTATTAAAAATAAAAAATAATAGTATTATTAAAAATTATATTAATAAATTTAAACCAGTGTATAAGTCTTACAAATTAAATAATTCACAGTATTTTGAAATTGATAATATCATTATGAAAAATATTATCAAAAACGGCATATCATATATTTTTAACTTAAGTGAGTTAGATAAATTACATCAAAAACATAAACCATTAAAATTATTAATTGAATATGATATATTTGTTACATCTACCTCATTTACTTTTTTTAATCATCTTCGTAATCGTACTTTAACATCAAATAATTTATTTGATATTTATTATTTTCTTAATAAAGACCTTTATAAAACTAATTTAGTGTATAGGGACAATGTGGTTAATTTTATTTCATTACAAGTTAGAAAAATAACCATTAAAGTCATCAATTAAGAAAGACAAAGTTTTATTAGTAAATTTTATTCATATTTGTTTAATTAATAATGTTAATGAATCATATTAATATTATTAATTTAAATCAATGAAGCGTTGCATAAATTCAACGCAGGTA